TTGGGTTGTGACTGTTCCATGGTGTTTTTTGGTGCAGCCAATCTTTGGATTTGGAGTGTCTAGAGTGATAGAATCTGGGCATCCAGATTACAAAAAAGGCGACTTACTTTGGGGAATAGTTGGATGGGAGGAGTACAGTGTTGTCACTCCAATTCCTGACATGCATTTCAAGATCCACCACACTGATGTTCCATTATCATACTACACTGGAATTCTCGGTATGTTATCTCGGCCTTGCTCCTTTTTTTTGTAAGGATTCACTTGCTAACTTAAGGAGTATTTTCTTTGCTCCTGACAGGTATGCCTGGCATGACTGCCTATGCTGGGTTTTATGAAGTTTGTTCTCCAAAGAAAGGAGAGACTGTTTATGTGTCCGCTGCATCTGGTGCAGTTGGTCAGCTTGTGGGACAGTTTGCAAAAATGATGGGTTGTTATGTTGTTGGAAGCGCCGGAAGTAAAGAAAAGGTGAGTGAGTAATTGATCATCATTTCTATATTTTTACCTCGTATTTTTTTTGGCTTACCGATAATGACTTGCCCTTTTGCTTTTGCTTTTTCTTGATTTGTTAGGTTGATCTCCTCAAGACCAAGTTCGGGTTTGATGATGCATTTAACTACAAGGAAGAACAAGACCTTAATGCTGCCCTGAAAAGGTCAGTAACTACTTAATTGCAAAGCGATATCTATTGGGAAACACCAATGGCAGTAATTACTGCAGCCTCAAAATTATGTTTCATCTTCGGTTGATAATGTCAAAGAATTCACAACTAATGTAGAAACGAAAGGAATTGATAAAAATGCGAACACCATAATAGAGGCCGTTACTATTGCAATCCCGAAATAATATGAATTTGATCTTCATCAGTAACTTTCTAGTACGACACTCCGGCTACTCTTATCAAACGGCTCTTTGACTAAACTTAAGAGAGATTCTGGTTTTCCTTTTTTCTTTTCCAGGTGTTTTCCCAAAGGCATAGACATATACTTTGAGAACGTAGGAGGCAAAATGCTAGACGCAGTCCTCTTAAACATGAACACGCACGGGCGTATCGCAGTCTGTGGAATGATCTCACAATACAATCTTGAGGACAAAGAAGGTGTACACAATCTATCCTCCATAATCTACAAACGAATCCGCATTCAAGGCTTTGCAGTCTTTGATTTCTACGACAAATACTCAAAGTTCTTGGAGTTTGTGGTTCCTTGCATAAAAGAAGGGAAGATAAAGTACGTGGAAGATGTTGCTGAGGGACTCGAGAAAGGTCCTGAAGCTCTTGTTGGACTCTTCCATGGTAAGAATGTCGGGAAACAAGTTGTTGTGGTTGCTCGTGAGTGAAATAAAGATGAATTAATATTGTTGGATATTGTATTAATGTTGAGTTGTGTTTTCTGGTAACTAGATTTGTCCATACAAAGACAAAACTTCCCCCTTTTTTTCAAAGCCGCATTATTCTGTTGTCACATTCTTTGCATTCGCGCCTAATAGCGCAAGAAATTATGCTTGTACAACTAATTCTGGCGTCATTAGTTTTGCATGGCCAGGTATATGGAATGTTTTCAT